CCACTATTCGTTGGTAAAAGAGTAGCCCAAGAGTTGGCGGTGGGACTAGCTGCCTTCCCTCTAGTCTTACACTGCTAAATTAGGGACGGCTAGCGCAGATAGCCCTCGTGTAGCTTTGCGCGAAATTCAAAAAACAAACAAACAAACAAACATTATTGTTACGATTCCATAGACCTTTGTTGGCCACTCTTGTTTTAAGTTGTCACAATATTCTTACGATTCCAGAGACTCTTATGGCCACTCTTGTTTTAGATTGAGATATTGATGGTAAGGTTCCAGAGACCACTGTTGGCTGTCCCCCGGTGGGACAGCGTTAAGTCTATGAATTTACAACACTGATACAGGCGTTCGATTCCCCTCGGTGGACACAGCAGATAGCCCGATGTGGCTTTGCTATGAAATACACACACACACTGGATTCATGGACCATCTAGTATATGAAATACATTTGTTAAGAATCTTCAAACAAGCAATTGTGACAATAATTAATAAAGAAGAATTGTTTTCAGAATATAAGAAATATTTAAGTATTTATTATATAATTAAGTAATTATTAAACGAGCCTATTTATGGCTTTTAAAAGAAACTTATCTTGTGTTTATAAATTCAGGGGTTTACATAATTGGCATACAGGTACGCATGCGCAGCCAAAATAATTAATGGGTACTCCAAAGATGCTAAAAAGGCGCAAGGGCGTACCATCACAACCGAAGTTTTTTCTGGTAGCAGAGTTCTATTTCCCCACTTCGTGTAGGTAACATATACTTTGATTTTAGTATCTGAAACGCAGTTATTAACTTACCGTGCTAGCTAGTTGGGTAAGGTGAATACTAAATAATAAGAATAAATTTAGATCTATCACTCATTTGAACTTCTGTTTATAATCTTTAATTTGTTTTATTGACGAGTTGGAGGAAGATGACTAGTTTCCGCAAGGACCAACCTTTTGTTGCTACTACTCATTTGACCTTCTGTCTATAATCTTTAATTTGTTTTATTGACGAGTTGGAGGAAGATGACTAATTTCAGTAAGGACCAACCTTTTGTTGCTGATACACATTTGAACTTCTGTTTATAATCTTTAATTTGTTTTGTTGGCGAGTTGGATGAAGATGACTAATTTCCGTGAGGACCAACCTTTTGTTGCTACTACTATTTATAATCTTTAAAATAACCTTAACCTTATATATCTTAAAACAAACTTTATTCTTATTTAGCTTTGTTAAAAGAGAGTTAATGTGTAGTTATATCTTTTAAAAGACATTAAAATATATGTATATATCTTAAAATCAACTTAATGATTACTTACATCGCTGAAAATATATTTAATGTATATTTATATCATTTACAAGAAACTTAACACATACTTACATATCTCTTAAAAGAAACTTAACACTTGTTTTATCTCTTATAAGAAACGTATGGTGTATTTATGTCTCTTGAAAAGAAATTACTCTGTACTTATATGTTTTTAAATGGACTTGGTGGATCTTTCTTGTCTCCTTAAAGAAAATTAACGTTTATGTTTCTTAACTACACAAAGAAGTTTCACTTTGAAGGTACGTGAAACAAAGTTCAATTTAAGTGACTCGCCTCACTTTTCGCTTTTTCAGTAGTTTGTCCTGATGTCAGTATATCTAAGACTACTGAGTGCAGTAAAAATCCAGCAATTCGACCTTATTGGTTCAGAGTAGACGTCCGGGATTCAACAGATTTTTCTTCTTGCTTGTTGCTAGAGTTACTATTAGTGGTGGATCATGGATGCTAGAGCTAATATTAGCGGTGGATCATGAAGTTCAATAATGTGTTCCCAAAACTAAAGAATATATTAGTTATTATTATTATAAAATTGGTGAGACATCTAACGGCAGACTCACAAATTCTGAGCTACAGCACAAATGTGAAGATTTTTAACCAACCAGTAAATGTTAACCTCTGGCTTGCGTTATATCTCTTAATTGTCTTTATTGACAATACTGAAATTAAATTTATCAATTTTATATTCACTTTAATCTCCCAATCTGTACTTCTGTATGTAAACCTATGGACTTACAGGTCAGTTTACTGAGTTTTGTATACCTATACTCACCTGTAAGTCCTTACTGAGTTTTGTAAACCTATACTGACCTGTAAGTCCTTACTAAGTTATGTATACCTATACTCACCTGTAAGTCCTTACTGAGTTTTGTAAACCTATATTGACCTGTAAGTCCTTACTGAATTTTGTAGAGCTATACTCACCCCGACGTCAGCAACTGGTTTAAGTGTGACAAAATCTGGAAGTACTAATGTCAGCAAGATCCCTCCAGTTTCATCTTGTGGCCAAGACGTCGTGTTTGGGTTAGTCTCATCTTGTGGCCAGGTCGTGATGATTGAATTAGTCTCATCTTGTGGCCAAGTCGTCGTGTTTGAGTTAAAAGTTCTGATGGTTTCGAAGAGCAAGAAGCAAATTAAGATTATGTAAAATGCATTCATGTTTCCTGTCACGAGTAACATATTAAACATCATCGAGGTTGTCACTAAATAGCTGAGACTTGTCGTCTTAAAAGTTTAATATCAAGGATGTAAATGTATCCAGCACTAAACCTTATATACAATAGTCCGATCGTAGCTTGTGCTTCTTAACATACACGAAACTAAACAGAATGTTATTGGTTCACAGCGGTTTTTAAACAACCAATCAGTTTTAGTATCAAGGCAGAAAGCTTTTCATCCAATAAGACATGGCACGGAAGATAGATTATAAGGGCTGCTTTCTCATAATTTTCGTTACATAATCATCCAAAAAAATGTAATAATGGGCTTATAGTTAAGTGTGGTGCCCGTATGACCCGGTGTGTTCAAATATGAGAAACATTTGAGGAACCGGGTGATCTTTTGATGAATTTCTTCCTGGACCCACATACACGTCATCTTGTTGATGTTAGGTGCCCGTCTTAGTTGAACAATGGACTTTAGTACTATATAACATAATACAAAATGATAGTCTTCACTCAACATTTTGTAGTCTCCTGACGTCTAATTTAATCTATAATACTTTACACGAAATATCGAGATTAAAATTTATTACATCACATCTTCTGTAAATTAGACCTATTATGTAAGAGTTTCGAAATTAAATTTGAAGCACATGGTCGTTTACGTAGTAAGTCGAAAATATAAAGTATACTAAACATTCTAACGTCTAGTAATACAGAAACAAATGTGTAGCTCATAATTAATAAATTCTATATGAAAAACCAGAACTTTTCTCACAACAGACTGAAATACTAAACCAAAACGTTCTGTGTTGTATGATATCAAACTTAGACAAACTTTTCTCACAATAGACTAATACAATAGATCAAAACGTTCTGTGTTGTATGATATTAAACTTAGACAAACCTTTCTCACAATAGACTGACACAATAGATCAAAGCGTTCTTCTGTACAGTATGATTTGAAACTTTGAAAAAACTTTTTAATTTGTACATCTTTTTAAAAATCTAGTAAATTTAACTGATATTTCGACACAAGTAACATTTTCTTATTCTCATACGCAAGTCACGAATGACCAAGTGGTAATATAAGGATCCATGGTTCGTGTCTCCTTGCTGGTTGGTGCTGTTGGCTAACTACCTTCCCTCCAGTTCAGGTGTCGCAAGAGTTCAGTTACCTTTAGTAATGTTCTGCAGGGAAACCTTAACCGGAATATTTACCTTTTTATGATTTCTCATAATACAACTTTCTATACTAAGTCCCTAACCGGCATATTTACCATTTATATGATATCTCATAATACAACTTTCAGTCTATCATAATTTCACCATACAAACACATTTTCTTTGAATATGACTTGTGGCTAAGTCTATATATTTTTTCTACTACTTAAGACGAGTCTTATAGTAAAGATATTTCATTTATCTTTAACGTGTATTGTTGAATATTTTTAGTCAAAGGTTTCTTGCTTTCATATCTTTCAATAAAACGGTGGGAAGAGGTAAATAAAGTTTCGGTATCAACCAAAAAGTTAACATTTCCCATGAAATTTAGTCTTACCGTGTTTTGTTTCATACAGATTAAAAGATGTATACGTCAACTTTTATTAAAGAAGGACTTTATTCCACATTCTAGTGTTTTGTTCTACTAACATTACTTTCTAAACTAAGTTTTACTTTTTATAGCCAACAGACAGCAGAAGAACAGTTAGTGTTTGATCCGGTACATTCTACCCAGTCTTCACAAAACAAAACGTTGTTGTTGTTGGGACTATTTGTCATTGAAAATGACTGGTTTTGCTATATATCTTGGCTGTTAAGTGAAAAGAGATTCTTTTCCAAGTTTCGGTTCAATCCATAGTTTTATTTAATTTATTTGATTAGTTCCATTCTACTTATGTTGTTGAAAATACAACTATTTATTGTCGAAAGTAGTAAGTAACTTTCTTCTATCAGAAGAATAATTCAGATCTGTTACAATACCCAGCCCGGCATGGCCAGGTGATTAAGGCACTCGACTCGCAATCTGAGGGTCGTGGCTTCGAATCTCCGTCACACCAAACATGCTCGCCCTTTCAGCCGTGGGGGCGTTATAGTGCGACGGTCAATCCCACTATTCGTTGGTAAAAGAGTAGCCCAAAAGTTGCCGGTGGGTGGTGATGACTAGCTGCCTTGAGGGCTATCTGCGCTAGCCGTTCCTAATTTAGCAGTGTAAGACTAGAGGGTTTCGCGCAAAGCTACACGGTAAAAAAAAACAACAAAAAAAAACAATCGTAATTGAAAACTGAATTTTTAACTTTGAGCATTTACATAAGCGCCAAATGACTATTAATATATATATATATATGTGTGTGTGTGTGTGTGTGTGTGTGTATCAGTGCGTGTTTTAAAGTAAAATTAGATTATACCACCTTTTATAAATTCGCGATGGAACGACATGTATCAGAACTATATTTTGAAATTAGTTTGCGTTTCGTATACATTCGGATCATAAAGTTGTGTTCATATCAGAGAATTTAGAATATGGGAGTATCTCTTGTACTTAGTGGCATTGGAAAACAACGGAATATGGATCGAGTTGGGGTTGTGGGACCATCCAGAAGGAAACTTGCAAGAAGTCGTATCCCAGCCATGGTAAGCAAAGTGCGGCGCCTTGCAATAGGTCAGATTCCAGGAACACAAGTCAGTGGCAAAAGCCAACCACGTGCCTCAGGCAATAGTACACAACTTAAAACAAGAAGGATCTTCTTTTAGAAACGAGCCCATTAGGCTATGGATTCAATAAGGTAAGGCTTCCAGTTATACCTACCATTCAACCATCGCATATTTCAAGCACCTGGAGAAAGAAACTGATATTCGTGCTATTTCGTAAGAAAACGTAAGGTCAAATTGCTAGATGCAGGGCTTCTGGACTTCTGTGTGATCAGTCTGCTAAAACTAGAGTTGGTAAACCGTTGTCCTTGTGCCCCCCAATGGTACAGCGGTATGTCTGCGAACTTACAACTCTAGAATCCGGGTTTCGATACCCGTGGTGGGCAGAGCATAGATAGCCCATTGTGTAGCTTTGTGCTTAAGTACAAACAAACCGTTGTCCTTGTACACTAGAAAAATTGGTGTGCTTTGGACATTACAGCCTTACAACGGACTTTTCTGCAATAGAAACTACGCTGCAGGGCTATTACTAAGATGTATGGTCGTCAGATAGAATATTACCGGACATTGCGAAATAGACTGTAGCAATGAGGCTCCAAAATTGCTTTAATATAACATACTCAACTTCTGTACAAGAAAAGTATCATTCTACGTACGTATGAAAAAAAAATGATTGAAGTTATGTTAGAACAGTAAGCACAGAGTACGGTAAACAACCGAGTTACAGCGTTTTAAAAGATTCATAGACTTTAATATTTCATTTTCAGGCAGTATATTCTATCAACATACACTATGTATGTCACGCTATCTTCGTATCTCAATAACTAACTAACACATAACCAATATGTTGCTTGTTGTGGTTCCAATTTTTATTAGATATTCTATTGAAACATGGTATTAGACGAAAATGATTACAAGTTTACTGGTGTTTTTTTTTTAAGAAAAAAAAGCTCATTTTTAATGAACTGCTTCGATTCGGCGTGTCCAATTTCAAAATGCAACGAACAGTAACATCTAACGAATTTTAAGTTATTGAATGTAAACCGTCTTAAACTTTCTGCCAGACAGATTTGACATCACTGAGCCTCACGTGTTGATTTTTTGCCCAGAAGAAAGTTACAAATCATTACTCGCTAAGTTCGAACGGTAAGTTTACGGACCTACAAGGATAAAGTCCGGGGTTCGATTCCCCGTGGTAGATAGAGTGCAGCTTTTTTAACAAACATTTCTTTTACTACGACGAACGTCTTTATCAATAGCCGTAAACGTTGTTTTGGAGTTAATTGGTTTCTCATAACAAAAACCAGAAACATGAAGATACTACGACGAACGTCTTTATCAATAGCCGTAAACGTTGTTTTGGAGTTAATTGGTTTCTCATAACAAAAACCAGAAATATGAAGATGAAACTCTCTACTTCAAATGTCCTCAGTAAAAGTCTTGGCCGTATCGCCTTAAGCGCGTTGAAACACCACGTACTAGTTTAATCCATGACACCTGGGACTGGTTTCATGTAGTAAATTTACACCACTAAGTGGCGCTGTAACATCATATATTTTAAAAGGAAGATCTAAAATATATGAACTTAGAAGTGATATAAACCATGGAACTTAGATCCACAGTCTGGCCTCAAAGTGACTGTCAATGAAATTATGATGAACACTTGTGTTTATATACGGTCATGCTGGGGCGGCAAGCAAAGTGCAGCTTGCCGTTTAATAACAGGAGATGAAACAGGATTTAGCAACGGACTCTAGAGACAAAAGTGCCAATATAGGAACAAACTCTAAACTTCTAGGGTTACCAACATTGGCCAGGATTTAAAATCAAGCAGCGACATATAAGGTCTTGCCCATCTTTTTCTGACAAATTAAAGGGATCTTCGTATTATTGACACTCACTCATTCAACAGGTCCACATTATCGATACTCGCTCACTGAACAGGTCCATATTATTGGCACTCACCCACTGAAAAAGTCTGTATTATTGACACTCACTCACTCGCTGAAAAGGTTGATTACTTTTGTAATAGCCGGATTTTGTTTGCTCTAGTATAATAAGAAAAAGTATTTCCTGCCTGCTGTTTGGGTATATCTCAAAATATGAAGAGAACACCCTGAAGAAGGTGATCCGATGGGACGCGGGAAGCTCTATGATGGAGTATTTGTCCTTTTCAGCTTCCACCAAGTCGACCCTCGTTATTACTCTTCTATTAAACCTTCCGTCTTCCATTGCTACCTTCTTCAAGTGTGTGGAGAATGATGTGTCATTCTTAGCTTCTACTACACAATCACCTAGTTGATATAGATGTTTCGTCTTCTTCAAGTGTATTGAGAGTGCCATCGAACCATTAAGGTTTCCAACTTTCGACCCTCGATGATACTCCTCTAGATCAAAACTAAGAAGGATACGTCGCCCTCTTAATGCTGCAGCGTCAATTTAACATGACAGTGACATTAACCTGGAATTAATTGAATCAGACTCATTGATGATGCGATTAGTCAACCTCTGAAGAATCATCTACGTAGTAAATAGCCATAAAACCTAAATTTTTGAGCTCTTCTTATGTATCTTTTTTTTCATTTACTTTTTGCCTACTTTACATATCCACTGGCCGCCAACTTTAAAGACCACACATGCACATTCCGAACCTTACGTAAATACTCTGTTTATCTGTCTATGTAAAGTAGACTGAGCATGCCTGGTGCAAGACTATTACACTAGGAGGCCTGCTCTTGGCTTATGTTTCGCGACTTGTAGCATCCTACGTCACCGTCTGACCACGCCCTTCTCGCGTGCTGTGCACCCTGATGGTAACACTTGAGACTAAACACGAAAGGTGTTATTGCTTCCGGTTCAGTTTTCGTTTGCCTTTGCTAACAAAAAGTTATCATCATGACGGGGTGGTTGTAGCTGTTTATTCTAATTGAGATAACGTTGGTTTTCAAAGATTTCACGTGAAAGATGAACATTTTATTAAAAATTTGGTTAATTTCAAGAGAAGTTGACAAACGAACATTGTTAAAGTCCTGTTGAAGCTTTCTCCAAAAGAATCCCAATTTTGTCAATGATTCCATCGAGTCCCTGGCCGGGTTGCGGAGGTGCATAAGGATTCGGAAAAGGTAACAGGGTGTCACGGACGCAGCAAAAAATGATGCGGAAACTTAAAAATAAGGTAAAAATAGCTTACGTCATTTAGTTATCTAATATTGGAGTTCAATTATTTATCTAAAACTAAGTATTTTCATATAATATCACAGTGAAAATGAAAACAATGTGCTAGGTGTGATGTCCAAAATATGCATGGTTTAAATTTTACGATATGAGGTGCATGAATTCAGGTCTTTCGTGAAATGATTACTTTAGCAATGTATGTCCTGTAACACCTCAACACTATTCAAGGACTATCTGCGCATAGCCGTCCATAAAGGAAAGGCATTTAATCAACAGCACCAATCGCCAACGCTTGGGCTACTTTAATCGAATACTGTCGTCCTTATAACGCACTCACTATTTTGCCGTAACGAGATGTGAACCGATGTCGGATTCACAGTCCGTCAAGTTAACTTTAAGACACGCCCAGCACACATATTGCACAAAAGAAAAAGAATCATGTCAATTACGAAAAATAAACTAATTTAGCAAAAGACGTGTTACTAAAGATGAAACTAATTATCTCTCATTAAAAAAACAAAAAAACAAGTATACCCGATAACGTGCAAGAGTAAGTTACATTGCTTTTGTAAGAACAACAATCACATAAAGTTCTTCGGAAGATAATTTTGGTTTCAAGATTAGGAGAGAAAAAGACCAAGAACTGATTATAATAAAACCCTGGAGATTTTACACAGCTTGTCAAATTACATTATCACGTGTTGAATGAATAACTCAGTTTCATACTTGTGCTAACAAGACGTAATGTAGTTTTGACTCGGGGCTCAATTTGTTGCGTACCTAATCGATCCAGCTGTCTCCGAAAATAGTCAATTGAGTTATGAACTAGTGGATCACGCATGTAGCATCAAACACGTTATTTAGCATAAAGCTTGTTTAACCAGTTTTTCCAGATTCTTTCCTCGATCGTTTGCCCTCCAGTGGCACAGCGGGATGTCTGCGGATTTATAACGTTAGAAACCGGGTTTCGATACCCGGGGTGGGCAGAGCACAGATAGCCCATTGTGTAGCTTTATGCTTAACTACAAATAAACCTCGATCATTTATCTAAAATAAAACATCCTGGATAATTTAGATGTGAGATTTTATATCTGGCATGGTCAGTCGAATCCCGAATTTTATCGTTGTAAGTTCGTAAACTTTCAGCTTTGTCCACCGGGGGGACAGGGGTAGGTGGTTTTTGGTGTCTGTTGTGAAGTGCAACAAATAGAACAGCGAAATAAAATAAAAAACACCATTAAAGTTCTCAATTTATGTAAATGAATTAAACTTTTGCCTTGTTTTACTAAATGATTACTGGTGGTAATGGTGTTCTGTTTTTTGTTGTTGTTTTTTTCAATAACTCTAATATTTTATCTGCATAACTATAACATCTTTCAGAAGAAAGTTATTACAGGAAAAAAAAGTTTAATATTATAATTTCTAATAAAGTTTAGAAATGACAAACAAAAAAGCTAACATCAGCGAAGTATAAGCTAGTTTCTTATGAAATAGTTTTTGAATTTTGTCAATTTGTAACTTCATTAACAACCATGATTTTTTGTTGACTCGGTTGTATTTGACCTGATAAATGGGATAAGTAATAAGAACTAGAATGAACAGCAAAACGTTCTGGACCAGTCGACCTGGTTAAAATGTTTTCAACCAATCAATATGATTAACATTTTCTGGACCAATCAACCTGATTAAACTGTTCTCAACCGATTAAGCTGGTTAAGATGTTCTGGACCAATCAACCTGGATAAAATCTTCTCAACTGATCAACCTGGTTAAAATGTTCTGAACCAAGCAACCTGGTTAAAATGTTTTCCAGCAATGATCATGAATTCATTCAAAAATATTTCACGACATGCTGTGTACCACTTTTGGAAATTGTTTTATTCATTGACCAGTAGCAAATGGCACGAGGCTTGTTACATTTATCAAGGTACAGATATGTTTTGTCGAGTGTCACCAAGTGCTGCTATTTCGGCTAGGTACCACCCATACAGTTTTCTACAATTAGTCTTCCTTTCATGGATGTGTCTTGAAAGCAACTTGTGTACACATGACTTGTGTCGCTTTTCCAGATGGGTGTATTTCTTCATTATGTTGCTTACTATTGCTTGGTGCACGTGGATGGCTTTTGCTATTTATCTTTGTATTCGCAGATTCTCACTTTTTACAACGTGCCGCACTTTGCTTATCATGGCTTGGGTACGACTTGTTTCAAGTCTCTTTCTAAACGTTTCTGATACCCCAAATTGATCCATATTTCTTTGTGTTTCAATATCATTAAGTACAAGGGCTATTCCCATCTTAGAATTTAAAAATCCACAATTTGAACACATCCTTATGATCCTAGTGCATGAGTATTTTACGTCGGAAAGGGCTGTTACATATCCTCCTCAAAAGCAGTTAGTTTTCAGTGGCATAGCACTACCTGGAAACAGCAAACAATGTAAATTTGTAGTTCTGATACAATATGTTTCACTGCGGCTTTATATCGGGAGTGGTTTTCACATGACTTGCTGATTTGGATGTTCAAAATCGCTGTAATATAAAGTACTTTACCCTCAATATTCCAAATATGTTTTATCTTTATTCTACTCAACCCTCTATATTCCAATTATGTTTTATCTTTACTATACTCAACCCTCTATATTCTAACTATGTTTTATCTTTACTCTACACAACCCTCTATATTCTAACTATGTTTTATCGTTACTCTACTGAGCCCTCTATATTCCAAATGTTTTACCTTTACTCCATTCAACCCTCTATATTCTAACTTTCTTTTATCGCTACTCTACTCAACCCTCTATATTCCAACTATGTTTTATCTTTACTCTACTCAACCCTCTATATTACATCTATGTTTTATCGTTACTTTACTCAACCCTCCATATTCTAATTTAGTTGGAATATAGAGGTTTGAGTAGAGTAAAGATAAAACATAGAATATAGAAGGTTGAGTAAGGTAACGATAAAACATAATTAGAATATAGAGGGTTGAGTAGAGTAGCGACAAAACATAGTTGTAATATAGAGGGTTGAGTACAGTAAAGATAAAACATAGTTGGAATATACAGGGTTGAGTAGAGTAAAGATAAAACATAGAATATAGAAGGTTGAGTAGAGTAACGATAAAACATAGAATATAGAGGTTTGAGTAGAGTAAAGATAAAACATAGTTGGAATATAGAGGGTTGAGTAGAGTAAAGATAGAAAATAGTTGGAATATAGAGGGTTGTGTAGAGTAAAGGTAAAACATAGAATATAGAGGGTTGAGTAGAGTAACGATAAAACATTTTTCTATCGTTACTCTACTCAAACCTCTATATTCCAACTATTTTCTATCGTTACTCTACTCAGCCCTCTATATTCTATGTTGTATCTTTACTCTACTGAACCTTCTATATTCTAACTATGTTTTATCTTTACCTTTAAGCAACCATCGGTATTTGTTTATATATATATATATTCAGAGAAAGTAGAAGATGATCCTGTTATGCCACCTGAAGCAGATGATTTTAAAACAACACGGTGTTGTAATCCAAAAATATAGAACAGAAAATTAGTTAAACTAGAGACATTAGAATTAATGTGACGTCAGGATCGAAATGCATCACAGCCGTTCAAGTATGAACCAATCTGGGAAATGTAATTACTGTTAACCTAGCGCGAGCTGCCTGTAGTCCATGTCTCCTGTTCGTTATAGTTAATATATAGCGAAAGGGAACAATTTTCGTAACCAGCCAGGGGTTCAATTTTTCCCCCGAAGGGAGCGTAATCTAATAATTAAATTTAGAATACTGATGCTCGTTTTATAGCTGCTAGAAATAGTCTACGCCAGCACAATTTAAAACAAACATCGGCCACAACATGAAAGTCGAAATTACTGTGTGTGTGTGTGTGTATGTTCACGTGCGGCTCGATAAGTTCGTCAATAAATGAAGGACTGGTAAAAATATGTTTGGAAAAATCTCAAGCAAAGTATTTTGTTAGCTCTCGCTCCTAAGCTATCTGTTTATTTTTCTACTCGTTTATCCATTTGCCTATCTGTCTATTCTTCTAGTTATTTATCCTTTTGAGGGGTGCGCCATCAGTAGACGATATACCCGCAATTTTTCACTGATAAACACCTTAATCAAAAGGCGAGCATGATTGGTATGACCCTCAGATTGCGAGTCGAGCACCCTAACCACCTGGCCATGCTGGGCCTATTTATCCATTCATCAACACATAGAGCTTTTTACACATACATATCTAACTACGTTTTTTCATTGCAAGATAGAAAGGATAAATATTAGCAATATTTTAAGTATATCAGCAAGTTTCACAAATATTCATGATATAGTAAATATTGTGTATAAATTTATTCTGCCCGAGGTCTCTAGTGGTATTTCTTACACACACTGCTGATTTGAAGCCAAACGTTTAAAAACACTTACCGAACTACAAGCAACTATTGATGACAAAGAGTTCAATTTAAAGTTAAGTGTAGATAGTAAACTACGATGCGTGATAGTTCAATATGTTTTTAGCCCCAAAGCGTGTTTTATATTATGTGTTATATAACATCGTTTTGGTTTATGTATCATGATCATAGACTCAAGCTCCCAGAGGACGAGGAGGCATGCACTGATGGAAACGGTAATGTTGAGGTAGCTTTGTATAATATAACGGACAAGTCAGCCGTAGACTGCAAGGAAGCACATGGGACTTCCCAAATAATAGCTGAATGGAAAACAAAACTTCTGGACGAGTATATCGTAAAACCTGAACTGCTCGATCCAGGCGTTCGAGTGTTTGATGGTAAGTTAACCCTGAACTTTTAAACTTTATATTTTAAATTGTTTGACTGTAAGTTAACAATGAATTGTTAAATTCTACAATTTACGTCGTTTAATTGTAAATTGGACCCGAATTGTTAAAATCTACAATTTAGTTTCTGTGATTGCAAGTTAACCTTGAAATGTTAAAAATCTACAATTTACATTGTTTGAGTGCAAGTTAACCCTGAATTGTTAAATTGTATAATTAAGATTGTTTGGTTGTAAGTTAAACCTAAAATTGTCGTCGGTGGAATAAGGCAAACCAAATACACACACACACCATCCACCAGGGATCATTTAAACTTGTCGCCGGTGGAATAAGGCAAATCAAATACACACACACACCATCCACCAGGGATCATTTAAACTTGTCGCCGGTGGAATAAGGCAAATCAAATATACACACATCATCCATCAGTGATCATTTAAACTTGTCGTCGGTGGAATAAGGCAAATCAAATATACACACATCATCCATCAGTGATCATTTAAACTTGTCGTCGTTGGAATAAGGCAAACCAAGTACACATACACACACCATCCACCATGGATCATTTAAACTTGTCGTCGGTGGAATAACACAAACCAAGTACACACACACACACCATCCACCGGGGATCATTTAAACTTGTCGTCGGTGGAATAACACAAACCAAGTACACACACACACACATCCACCAGGGATAATTTAAAAGGACTATTCTGGACAATGATTCTTTTTCCATAAGACACGACTATAGTTTATCATATGTGCAAAGGCCTGATCACAGTTAAAACATATGTGGTGTCACACACCCGAAACTTTGAAAGAACCTGACACATGTGGTTGATATTAACATGTACACACGAATGTGTTGTAGAAGGAACCTAACACGTGTGGTTTATATTAACATGTACACACGAAGGTGTTGTAGAAGGAACCTAACACGTGTGGTTTATATTATCATGTACACACGAAGGTGTTGTAGAAGGAACCTAACACGTGTGGTTTATATTAACATGTACACACGAAGGTGTTGTAGAAGGAACCTAACACGTGTGGTTTATATTAACATGTACACACGAAGGTGTTGTAGAAGGAACCTAACACGTGTGGTTTATATTATCATGTACACACGAAAGTGTTGTAGAAGGAACCTAACACGTGTGGTTTATATTAACATGTACACACGAAGGTGTTGTAGAAGGTACCTAACACGTGTGGTTTATATTAACATGTACACACGAAGGTGTTGTAGAAGGAACCTAACACGTGTGGTTTATATTATCATGTACACATTAGAATGTAGTAGAAAGAAATGGACACGTGTGGTCTATATTATCATATGGCCACGAAGCTGTAATAGAAACTAACACGCATGTGTTGTCTACGTTATCATATACACACGAACAGGGGCGTCCGCAGTCCGCAAAAAAGTTTCCCGTGGAGGGGTGGGGGGCAAAGTAGTGTGAAATTGTGAATTGAATAAACAATTCATATACATATACTGAATGAGTAAATAAATAATTATGTTTCTCATTTTCCGGGAGGGGGGACAAGTTCCCCCTGTTGCCCCCCCCATCCCTGCGGACGCCCATGCACACGAAGCTGTAGTAGAAAGTAATGAACACATCTTATCGTATATACTCAAACCTACGCATTTAATATAGTAAGAACAAACGAGTTTATACGAGACTACACTATCACATACAATCAAACTTACTTGTTTGCTGTAATACGGGAACAATGGATATACCTAGGCTATATCGTATATGAGACAAACATTGAGACGTTTTTTTGTTTTTTTTTAATCAGGTGCAATCAAATTTACCAACACTGAAAAAGGTACAAGTAACACATCAGATTTTTTTCAGTGACCTTGAAATCATATGATTCTCAGACGACCTTGGTTTGGAGATTAAACCTTACCATACAGCCGCAAGATTGCGCTGAGAAGTCGGGGGTAGCTTTGTGCTCTGAGAAAGGGACCTGTGTTAGTGACGAGACAAAGGTATGTGTGTTTGAGTTTTTTTTTGTGTGTTTTTTTTTTTGCAAGATTCTAAAGGATAGTAATAACAATTTAACTGACAAATTTGTGGAAAAATAGGTCGTATCAGGGAAGCTTCAATATCGATTTTCTCTGCAATTTATCGATAATTAATTGCTATTGCCCATCTTTTAAACAAAGCTGTTTTAGAAGTGTCGTTTTGTGGCTCTGAAAATTCGATTTTAAATTAAACTTTGTAATTACATGAAGAAAAAAAAAAGGTGGAGTAAAACTAGTTTATCGATGTAACATTCTAAGTTAGGTTAAGACTTTTTGGATATCCTGTAATAATGGCACTGGTAAAAACATGAGTAAAAATGATATTAACAATAGTGGCTCCGGTAATAAAGATATTAATAAAAGGGGTAAAAATGACATTAACAATAGTGGCTCCGATAATAAAGATACTGATAAATGTGGTAGAAATGACATTAACAATAGTGGCTCCGATAGTAAAGATACTGATAAATGTGGTAGAAATGACATTAATTTTATCAGTATCTTTATTATCGGAGCCACTATTGTTAATGTCATTTTTACCACTTTTATCAGTATCTTTATTATCGGAGCCACTATTGGTGGTAAAAATGACATTAACAATAGTGGCTCCGATAGTAAAGATACTGATAAATGTGGTAGAAATGACATTAACAATAGTGGCTCCGATAATAAAGATATGTTGCTGTTGTTAAGCGCAAAGCTACACAAAGGGCTATCTGTGTTCTGCCCATCACGGATTATAAAGATACTAATAAAATAACATTAACAACAGTGGCTCCGATAATAAAGATACTGACAAAGATTTCACTAGTAATAATCCAAAGAGGCTTAGGAGAATAGAAATAGAATAGTCAACTATTCCAAAGTACTAGAGTTTTGGGTTCTTTTTTTTCAATTTAAATTATTGTTTAGTACGTAATAGGGTTTGTACTAGTGTAGTAAGAGTCATCTTCAGCTAAGACAGCTTCATTTTTCTAAAAGGGTGGTTGGTCTTAGAAGGGGTTGCCTTCAGTTGTGGTGGAAATAGTAAATTTACGGGTGTTTAAGGAAAGACTTGATAAACATTTGAATGATAACTGATGGCTTTAAATTTATGGACAGCCTAGAGGGTTTGCACTAGTGTAGTAAGAGTCATCTTCAGCTAAGACAGCTTCATTTTTCTAAAAGGGTGGTTGGTCTTAGAAGGGGTTGCCTTCAGTTGTGGTGGAAATAGTCAGTTTACGGGTGTTTAAGGAAAGACTTGATAAACATTTGAATGATAACTGATGGCTTTAAATTTATGGACACCCTAGATGGACCAACGGGTCCCTTGTTGTCCTTCAGTGTTATATTATGCTATGAAATGCAATATCTCAGTAAAATTAACTTGATAAAACTGGTATATTGGAACGATATAAGCTGGAATGAGCACTATTTAAACAAAGAAACGTGGTCTTTTCTGAGTGTTATTGCACAAATGAGAAAATATGTGTTTACGTTTGTTTGTATCATCTATCAACATTATGGTTAATTATTTTGAATGTCTACGCGTCTCAAACAAACTTATCGTGTTTTTTGTAAAAAAATAAAAATCTAACAAAAAAAATAGGTAACATGTAACTTTGATCAGTTTATCTTAGACTAACAAAATGTTAATACAGGTCTGTCGAGGAATGACGTCATATTTTCTAGTAATGTCACTACTGCTAGGATTTCAGTAAATTTTACTTTAACAATTTACAACATGTTTTCTATGCACTGTGTCCTAATACTACAATTTTGGGACTTTGTGTTTTTGTAAATCTCGGACTGATATTAACAATGCTTCAAAAATCGTTTCGAAACACGTGTTGACAAGCAACGTCTAAATCGTTAGCTCGTGGCTGATGAGTTTTCTCCACAAGGTAAAGAGCGTAAGTGATAAATATTTACACAAATGCATCCATGCATACCCATAAGTCAATAGGCGATCGCATACAAACAATCACAGAAACCTGACATGTAGAATAAAATATGTACTTAGTCTTGCACATACGTATTGATTTGAATGACTTCCAATTGCCTCATAAAGAAATGTAAATAATAGTTGCATCTCTTGTTTACAATAGGCAAAAATGTATATTTCCAGAATGAATTGTGTTGCCTTTCCCTTTAAATAAAGACGTTTTACACGTTTTAGGCTAGTCCCTGGTATACGTGACTTAGTTGCAGTGTTTTAATTGTTTGTGACAGTCTTCAGAAAATATGTCGTTCTAGTTGGTTCCTTTATTTACGACAGTCCTCAGAAAATATGTCGTTCTAGTTGGTTCCTTTATTTCCGACAATCTTTAAAAATATGTCGTTCTAGTTGGTTCCTTTATTTCCGACAATCTTTAAAAATATGTCGTTCTAGTTGGTTCCTTATTTACGACAATCTTTAAAAATATGTCGTTCTAGTTGGTTCCTTTATTTACGACAGTCTTTAGAAAATATGTCGTTCTAGTTGGTTCCTTTATTTCCGACAATCTTTAAAAATATGTCGTTCTAGTTGGTTCCTTATTTACGACAATCTTTAAAAATATGTCGTTCTAGTTGGTTCCTTTATTTATGACAGTCTTGAAAATATGTCGTTCTAGTTGGTTCCTTTATTTATGACAGTCCTCAGAAAATATGTCGTTCTAGTTGGTTCCTTTATTTCCGACAATCTTTAAAAATATGTCGTTCTAGTTGGTTCCTTATTTACGACAATCTTTAAAAATATGTCGTTCTAGTTGGTTCCTTT